AAATATTGTACATTTTAACGCAATAACTTAATGAGTTGCAGTAGGTAAATATTTCTGTGAAATTTAAATAAATTGTTTACCATGTATTTTGCCGTGACGTGCATTGAATCACTTTTTAAAACGAGTTGTTTAGGAGACATTGCGTATTTTGGCTGCCTTAATTATTAACTCATTGAATTCAAACGATGATGAATGAATGCTAACACGATTAAAACGTAACTTTGGATTTGTAATATTGAGCGAACTACGTTCCAAAAATCTTTTATTTGCTTCCGTCCTCGAACTCCTAACCAAGTTTTCGTCGATTTGAATAAGTAATAACATCGGTTAGTTTTATTGTTCAGTCATACTATTTACGTTTATCTTATCATTTATAAACCCAGTGAATTTGCGTTAGGTATGCAGATGTCTGTTTCTTATCGGTTAAAGACTTTGATTACGTTAAATTTCCATATCCACCCCATTTTATATTTCAAAAAACATTTACGTTTACGAGACACATTAAATCACAATTTAACATTCACTTTTCTTTTGTCTTTCATAATACGTGTAATTTACACATTACAGTGCAATTGAAAACTCGCCCATTTGTTGAGGAACAAAAGTGAAATCGAGATTCAAAACTGAACTGTTGAAACACGTCTGTTTTGTCTGTTTGAACTTTCGTTTCGGATGGCGCATGCATATCGTCGATTGAGTAACATTGTAGGTACTGTTTCTGTTGTTTATGATCGTTCAGATTTGCCCCTTGTGATTTGTGTCGTTGATTCATAAAATAGCTTATTATCTGCACAAATACATGCCTGCCCCACAGGCGAGAAAATCAAAACGCTGCTTTAAATGCCAAATTATAAGGCAATATACCATTTTCATTTACCAAGAGAAAGGTTACCGTAATCATTTTGTTTGCATTTTTACGATTGTTGCATCGACCGTTTACTTACGTAATTTTAAGTTTTCACGTTTTTTGAACTTCCCATCTAATTGATGTATGCATGCGATAATTGCTATGGATCATCGTTCTAATAGATCTGTACGTGCATGATGAGTAAGTACTTTATTTATTTACCAAGTATCGCGTTTCGTTTCACTATACTACTTACTACACCAGCTGTAAAAGATTTTGTAACAAATAATCTTCCCGACGTAATTCTGTCATTATTCAGAATAATCAAGTTTTAACCAAATTAGCGAATGTTAAAACCTTTAACCAAGAGATAGATATGAGTGGACGTTGCGTGCAAAATAAATATATCGTAAGCTAACTTTGGTAATCCGGAGGTGTGCAAATACATTGGATATAAATAAGCTTAAATATACATTTCTGTTAAAATGTACCTACATGCTATGCACATATTTACTTAAGAAAAGGAAGTTTGTAAAACTAAAACATCTGACAATTTTTAGCTATTTTAACAATGTTTTCTAATACATAGTTTTGTTGACACTTTGGAAAATTTTAACCACTTATCTTTTAATCTTATGAAATTGTTTCAGTAATGTATTATACCTTAATTGACTAAAAACTATTGTGAGAAAACTGCTTGACATTGACGGATTTAACTAACATACCAAAAATATACCTATTTTTTAATTGGATGGTACGCAATTATCAATTTAATAACCAAAAAAAATGAGATTGTGAATAGTATTACTATGAATATATGAAATCTTCTCATTAGAAAAATATATGTATAATACAAATAAGCCTTCTATTTTCTATGAAGTAAAAATTACGTTTAGTTAACAAATTTACAAAACCTGTGAATAATGTTAGATACACATATTTTGCTGTTGGTTTTCATATTCAGAGAGATTTTTAATTTGTAGAGGATGTCAGATGTATCAAGAAATGGTTATTCTGTTCATTATGACATATTTCAATGTAATTTACAAACACATTTAGTAGTCTTGACAGTGTTGCCTTAATTCTTGTACCATATATTTTGTTGAGGAGTGTACTACGGTTAACGTTTCTGTGAAAATGTTTTGAAAAATTGTTGTAATAAAATTAAGGCTACACATATGAAACATTAGATGTCGATAAAAAAAATGTCAACATTTTTGCATGAAGTTTGTATAATGTATTTGCAACACTTTTTAAAATTCAAACGCATTGTGTGTAATGCATTTTTGCATCGCACGAGTTTGCAATCTATTTTAATTTTGCCGGACGTCATAAATTTAAAGTCGTGAAGACTCGATGACTCAGTCGCCTGATATTCTTCCTGAAGACAATAAATTACTCAAAAATATATCTGGCGCAACAGCGTATCTTTTCTTTGATAATTTCAAATAATGAAACCGCAATGGCAAATATTTCGTTTCAGAATCGTTCATCGTCGAATATTTAAATTAATAAAACAATGATTTTGTAATTACAAGTGTAATATACTAAAATTAAACGAAAACTGTGTTTGCTTTGAACTTTGCTCATTATCGAAGTTTTGTTTATGTCGTGTTAATTTCGTACATATTGTTTAAAACATAATACCGATTAACAAACATTTTTCATACCCTGAGTTCACTGACTGATTTAAAAGTAGAAATAAAATGAAATACTTACAGTAAAAGAATAAGGTGAAACATACTTTGTTTAAAAATAAATGAACATTTTAATATTTACAGTTTTATTATGTTTCAGTAACATAACTATATAAAATATGTGTTAAAGACTAGACATCATACTGTGTGATTTTTTAAATTTCTGCTTTAGTTTGTCATGACACATACCATCAGCAGGGCAACTGAAACTTACAAACAACGAAAAAAATACTGGGTGTTTCAAATTTTGTTTAACAAGTATATCACGAAAATAAATGTAAAAATAAAATGCTAACCAAATATTTTCTAATCATCCCTAGCAGCAATTTGATGACGTCCCCTCTAAATTTGCGACATTAAACATTATTCAAATTTCTAAAAATAATATACTCTAACACTTGTGGTTTATGAATCCTCTGTGAGATTATTCGTTGGGAATCAAAATGTTCTTTTATTCTTACACTGTTACTACTATTATCAATATATTTAATTTTTATGTATAGAGGTTATCACAAATAAAATGTCGCAAGACCAAATTTGATAATTTTTAAAAGAAGCGGGATTTGATGGACTGCACTTTCGAGGCGAGGGAAGTTCTGTCGAAACAACCTTCAGTCAGTTTTTTAATTTATCAAACTGAAATTATTTTATCTATGCAAAACAACGGTATTGTTAAATATTGTCACAGGCTTGTATACAATAAAAGCTACTATTACATGTCACATGAGCATAGTACAAGTGAATATTCATGTTTAAAACAAAGGAAAGTCGTAATTATTTGCCTCTACTTATTTTTTTCAAGTTACCTGGTTATTATTAAAAGTGTTTACACGACCATGTATATTCTGTAGCACTGTATATTGCAAAACTATTAATGTACATTTTGTAAAAAGACTATCAAATAAAAATATGGCCAAAGTTTGAATTTAAAACAAAGTTTTCTTATTTATTAAATTTTTGAAATCAGATAATTTAAAATCGAATTTGAAAATATATTATAAAATGATGGATTCAAAAATTTCAAAGACTAACTACACAGTTTTAAATAATTTATTTTAAATATCAGTAAGACAAACACATTCATACAAAATTTAGAACCCATGATGATAATTCTTAAAATAACTATGTGGACATATATTTCAAAAACACCTTAACAACGGAAATTTAAAACCGCCATTGTTTTTAGTTTTAAAGAGAGGACGTTAATTTGATACTATGCATTCTTAGGATCGGAATCTTATTCTTTACAATTTTAATAATACTTTTTTAAGCACAATTAAGTCGAGCGCTGAAAGCTTTGTCCGTGCATATGGTATTTACAGACGTTTTTCGAGATATAACAGTTTTGTAAGCGGCATTGTTTTAAGTTTAAAGAGAGGGTGAACTGTTTTTTCATGCAGTGTGACAATGCGACTCTGATGCATACAGTTTTTGCAGCGTACCCTCTGCAGTTGTGATAAACATATATGTTTGATTCTTATTTTAATAAAAACATATGCGAAGAAAAAATGAAACAAAAAACAGTGCATTTTTTTTGTAGTAGCATTAGTCTAACTCGTATTGGTAATTGGAACTTGGAAGTGTTTCTTATAAAGATTATGTCCAGACTAAAAATATTTTGGTAGCCTTATCTAAAAATTCGTAAATATTGATAATAAAGAAATAATAATAACACGTTTATTTGCCATACATTAAGTGCAGATATATTTAGCCTCATCAATGCACATAATTACTGAAATAGAAGTACATAAAACAACACTGACACAAATTGTATAGGACTAGATGCCACAACTACATATGTGCCCCTGAAATACTCGATAAACTCTTGATGTTTCCATGGACGAAGATAGAATGTTGAAAACTTTTTATCATAATATTTTGCTGGTCAAACCTGTGTTTATCAAAGTAACAATATTTGCGGCTATTATTTTTAAAGTAATTCTCTAAAATTATTTGGCAGTAACATTAGATAAATTTTATCTTTGTTTCTTCATACACTTGATTGAATATCCTTATGTGACAATACCAGTCGTTAAAATATATAAAGTAAATGTTTCGTTACTTTACAAAAATACAAGGTAGGCTAGAAATTTATAATTAAATTTCTTATGTACCGTTGAAAAGGTTTTTTTTGCCCTTTTTAAATCATTATACAAACAAACTAAACATATTAATAATGCCCTTTGACAGATGAATTAAGTACACAGATGTCAAGAAGCGTGTGCGATAAGCTGATAAGTTCAAACAACGCCGATTACTTTCTACAATTTTTCAAAAAATACAGTTCGAAATTTTAAAAATCACGTGAACGATAATAGGTGGATATAGTGCTGGTATTTCACGAATTGAACACGCCATTTGTTAGTACATTTTCTCCTATGTAACGATATTTATCAACACTTTCTCCTCATCCAAGTCAGGACGTAAATTGTAACAGTTCTATTTTTTTTTTTCAGCGGTACGAGCAGACCGAATGAGGGGAGGTAGGAATAAATTCGGTCCAATGTATAAAAGGGATAGAGCACGGAAGCTGCAGATGATGCGACAGCGACAGCTTGCGGCGCAGACACTAAGAGGAAACACTCTGGGGGACGGTATGTACAGCAACCAGCCAGGAACATCACCTTTTGCCAACATCCACATAAAACAAGAAATCCAGATCCCGCAAGTCTCATCGTTGACGTCGTCGCCCGACTCCTCGCCGAGTCCGATAGCCGTTGCCCTAGGCCAGGTGAACACGTCAGCGCTGGTCCAGCAAGGGTCCAACCAGCAACCGGCTCTCCAAATAGTCGGTGTACCCGGAGCACCGTCGTCGATGGTGATGGGACCCGACAATAAGCTCTGGGGCTCGGCCAACTCCACCACCACGTCACCTCACTCTCTTAGTCCCAAAGCGTTCCAGTTCGACACGGTGGTGCAAGGGAGCAGTGCACCTCCTTCTAGTAAAGTGTCACCGCTCATTAGGGACTTTGTGCAAGCCATCGATGACCGCGAGTGGCAGAACTCCTTATATACATTACTCCAAAACCAAACATACAATCAGTGTGAAGTGGACTTGTTTGAACTTATGTGTAAAGTTTTGGACCAAAATCTGTTTTCTCAAGTGGATTGGGCGAGGAATTCTATATTCTTTAAGGATCTCAAGGTTTGTATTCTGCTGATTGCAGGATATTGTGGTCATTGAATCTTAGGTTAAGAGGGTTTTGTGTATGAAATTTTCATGGACTGAGACAAATAACGCACAAAAGGGCCATTTATTTAGTTGTGCTGTGAGTTTTTGGTATATTACAAATGCTCAACTATGTTCTATTGGCAACTTGACATTTATTTAAACATAAAAGAATTTAGTTTTCTCTTATAGTAACAGGAAAGAAAAAAAAATATATTTTTTTTGTAGGAGTAATTTTGATAATTTTTAAATACTGGCGAAATTTGTACAAAATAAATGTTCCTGTAAACGAACCGCAGACTACCAAAATAAGAAAATAAAGAGGTTCAAAACAATAAACATAAGTAAACAGTTTACTTAACGGAAAATGAAGCTTCCCTAGTTTTTTATAATGTAAGTGAATGTAATTACCAAGTAATTATTAACGTGTCATTATCTCTAGGCATGCAGGTCTTTTTTTATTTTTAACCGTATTATCAGTCTTTGTATTTACATTTTACTTTTTTTTTACGTGGTTATAAGAAATACAGGTTGTCTGACATTTCAAAATTTTTTCAAACACCCAAAAGTCAAAATATATGTATTTGCTTCTGGGTTGTATTTATAAAATAGTACTTTTTCCATTCTGAACTGCTAGGAACATGTGAGAAAACCGTATTAAAAGCTTAACTTTTGAATATTTGTAGTCTGCAAAAGCGAAACATAATTTTTTGTTTAAAGTTGGATGATTTTTGTAGAATAATTAGAATGTCGGTTTATTTAAAAAGTTGCTCATTTAAGTTAGTCTTTAGAAAAGAATATAATGTCTAAAGCTTAGTTGAGACATAAGCAATCCTAAAAATTCAGTCTTCTTAATGAATAGCGATTTTTTTTTTGTTTTCTTAACGTGCTTTGAAATGCGTTGAGTAGTAAAAGTGCAAATAAATGAGATGTATTTTTGCTACAACATGGATTTAAGGTATATACATAGTTACGAAAATTTAACCGTCAAACCTCCAAAAGTTTTGTTTTTTATAATATTATCAATGAAAGCTAATTGTTGCAGGTTACATAAATTGGGTCAAATTTCAATTTGGGTTTTATTCCTTAAAACAATAATTACAGTGTGATCGGTGAAAACTACAATAAGAGAATTAAATTCAATTAAAATGACTAAACTCTGATCGTACATCATGACCTTCGGCTGTGCGAACTTTTGGGCTATTGTCGAGAATTGCTTAAATATAAAACGGTTATTTTAACTAGGTAGAAAATAGAGATTTGTATGATCAGAATAGTTCATAAGAGGCAATGTTCAAATCGTATTCAGCCGAAATTTTGAGCTCTGTGGAATAGAACATAAGATTTCTGTGAAGATTTGCCACTTTTTGCATACCATTCTGTAACCGGTTTTGCACGTTGACAGATCAGGTTCACAAAAATTCAGGAATTTTATATTGTCTTATTACAATTACGTTTTTTATTTAAACATTCCTTAATTCAGGTATGTTTTTTGGTAGAAATTTGTTTGCGAAAAAAAATTCCTTTCAGTTTTCTCAAACGGAAAGTTAATTTTTTCTTTAAAATTTATCTTTTATACCCAACATGAAATATAGCAACAAGTCTGTTTGGAGTTCGCAGTGGTTCATTTTTTGATTTTTTTATGTGGGATTATGTGAAATTAAAACTACAAAATAAAAAATCAGATTTAACCAAATTCACCCTCCATTTCTCTGTAGAAACTTTTTGTTTAATTAAACTGTGACTTGTGTAAACGAAAATTGGTTCTCTCATCTTATTGGTGTGTAGATGAGTCTTGTAATCATGTCTCACCATTAATTATGTAGATATACCCAGCAAAGCTCTTTGAGATCCGACCCAATCAACAAACACGATTATTAGTGATTGACGGAATTGCATTAACCACAATTACATATGAAGGAGTTTTCATTATCGTTGTTTAGGAAAAATATCTGCAGACGTTCTACTTAGTTACAAATGGCAAGTCTATTCACCAGTTATCGACCTCATATCACCCTTAATTAAATTATTGTCCACTGGAAATGACCCATTTACGACTAGAGCAATTGGACTTCTTCACTTTATTTCATTTTGTCTGGCGAAATTTTGAAATTACACAAAATCAAAAAAACGTCGGCCATGGTAGTGTTAAAATTAAGAACGTGTATTACTTCAAGAATTAATCAGATAGTATGCAATTGGCGACCTACATAGCAATTCAACTCGAACATCGTAATTGAGCAACTCTAGCTTTACCAAATTGAGCTGTATTTAAATAATTCACCGGTGGCGTGCCTGTATATGTTAAGAATATTGCTAAATGTCGACATGTAGCAACAACAGATATTGCTGCTAGTGACAATAGCGCTCTGTTAGAGCTAGTCACACCGACACGTTTCATATATAAAAAAAAACTAAAATGTTAAACTCTCAACATCAGTAGATGCCTTGCTTTAACACAAATACATTAAGTAACATAAATTGATTTACGTGACACTATAAATTTGCAAGAAATATAGCATCGAAATGCCAAAAACCCATTCTGTAGCGATTACCTTCTCTTTCGTTTGATGGTAAAATATTTCGTTTGCTACAAATCGTTAAGTTCATTTTCGCAGTATTGTGCAAGTTGTAGTTGCTTAAAATTTAGCTTTTCTATATTACGGCAGTGTCCATTACGTGCATGTTGCGAATAATGCCTGACGGGGCCAAGTCCGGACGTCCTCCCCGCCTCTGTGTTTCGCTTCAACATCAAGTAGGCCATTGCTAGTGGGTCAAGTACGCCACAAGTCGCAAACTATTACGAAATGTCGGATTCTATGGCAAAAATGGAAAGTGTTCCGAATAGCAAACCGTGGGGAAAGTCTTTTGACGCTTCGCTTTCAATATTACCATTTAATTTCGATGGCGCCGTACTGGAACATAATCGCGTCAATGGGGATTTTCGTTCGTTCATGTTGGTTATGACGTGACTAAGCGAAATCGTACGAGAGAGAACCATGATTAATTTAAGCGCGGGCACACGGTTTGAAGTGTTGTTCACGTTGGATTGGATTAAGAACTCTTTTTATGCACACTAACTGACACCGAGTTGTGTATAAATAATTCATTAGGTCTTAAAGAATTTTTCATGTTTTATTAATATTAGTAAACTTCTCAGAGGGTTTTAATTACGTTAAGTTCTTCATGCGTTAAGTTTTCCCACACGGTGTAAATACCTACGTTCCACTGCATTAACAGGTCGCGCTTACTAACTTTTAAATTTATACTATATCTTATATTCATGCTTTTAGCTTGTTTAAATTGTGATATGGAATAGTGGGTAATAAAAGACGACCAGTCATTGATATTGCTGTATAGATAATTTTAATAACATGTACAATGTATAGGAGTTTGTTATTTAGTATGTGCGATGTTTGAAACAGCGAGTAGACCTAAAAACTGAAAAGAATATGTTTTCTGTTTTGCAAGCTTTGATGGAAGTTAGGCCAATGGCGGAGGTGCAAATCCGATTATAATCTAGGTTAGGATATTAACATCGAAACAAGCAATAAATTCTGACTCATCATGATAATACATACAGTAAAGATAGAACAGACCGGACATATTGAACTTGGCCTAAATTTGCTGGTCGTTTTCACTTTCAACTATTTGCTCATTTTACATAATCTTACTACACAATGTATTTCCTTCTCTATGTTTTTTTGTTGCTGTCTCTCTTCACGTCACGCAATAGAGAACAAGTTTTAAAATATTCATTCTGTTTGACACAGTTATTTTATTTACAAAATAATTTGAATTCGATTTATTCCATTTTCTATTAAAGTCACCAACTGGCATTTATGATAGTAATTATGAAATTTTTGTTATGAATTACGTTGGTACTGTATATTAGTAATCTTATAATGGAGTGATAAACACATTCTTTCATACATTTATGTTACCACGTTTAAATCATCAGGTATAACGTTTTCTAATAATTTACTGTTATAAATGAAGGTCTTCTGACTAAAAGATTCGCCATAATTACTTTCTCTTATTAGGAAAAAAAAAACAAGGCTACGTTTGTTGTTATTAACTTCATTATTAATTTTAATATCGTCCTTCAAAATGAGGAACTCATCTAACTTTACTTTTTACATGATATTTAAATATTTTAATTTAGAGTTTCTTCACACGAACAAACAATTGTTTAGAATCTAATTTTAGTAAAAATTGCATTTTTCGGGGTCATCTCTGTACTAGTTCAGCCAGATGCACTCCCAAAGGTTAACATTAACATCTTTTATGTAGAACGATGTTGAATATAGATTAAGCAATAATACGATGGTTCTGTTTTAGGTGGATGACCAAATGAAATTATTGCAACATTCGTGGTCAGATATGCTCGTTTTGGATCACATACACCAACGCATGCACAACAATCTTCCCGACGAAATGACTCTTCACAATGGTCAAAAGTTCGATTTGTTAAGTTTAGGATTATTAGGCGTACCCAGTTTAGCAGATCATTTTAATGACATCACAGCCAAACTACAAGAACTCAAATACGACGTTAGCGATTATATTTGTGTTAAATTTTTATTGTTGCTTAACCCAGGTAAGTCACAGGGTGTGGAAAGAACAATTTGATGCAGAAATAATTGGAATAATAAGTTTCAAGCTAACGTATAATAATAAAAAAAAATGTTTAATTTGTTTCTTTCGCGCTCAGTACACGAGTTTTTGGCCCACGACGCCTTGTGGAATAAGCAACATTGATTAAATAGGACAAACTAATGCAATTAGATAGATCACGCTATTGTGACATGTGCCACCTTTAAACTAGGCCGTATTTATGTATTATGTGCTTAAACGAAGTTAAGGTAGACAGATTTTCATTTTTAGTCTTGACGTTGTGTTTATGTGTCATTCCAGTTTTTCTGCAAAAAACACCTTCAATACCACAAGTTAAATTAAATGTAGTAATTGTTATTATTTTTTAGATGTACGAGGAATTACAAATAAAAAACATGTTCAAGAAGGTTATGAACAAGTCCAGCAAGCTTTACTCGAATATACGGTGACGTGTTACCCACAAATCCAGGTAATCTTAACCAATTTTATTCAAACTCGAAATGGGTAGCTAGAGATAAATTTCATACGGTTTAGTATTTTTTTATGATATAAAACTATGAAAACTAGTGTAAGCCTCAAATAGTAACTGCATATTTCTCGTTTCATTATTATGGTCCAATTTTTGTTTTAATATTTTAAGAAATTTGGTCGATGTTTAATAAAACACCAAACATTTTGACACTAAATTAACCAACCCGCGCGCTGAGAGCTGATTAGTGTACAGGTCCATAAAGCAGTGTTTGAAAAGTTCTTGGAACAGTGCCGTTTTCAATGGACGTTCTGAGACATAAGGTGATTTCAAAGCTTTTAAAAACGCATAAAACAAAAGATTCATGTAACTATTATTGTGTATCTAACTAACTAATGGCACTTTCGTGTTGAACTAATAGGTCACAGTTTCACACTTCTAAAGTATCAATCTGCAAAGAGACCATACCCGATAATGAAATTATATTTTTTGATGTTACTAAAAATTGGAAGCTATTTTTCACTACTTGCAATCACACTAAAATCGGGTGCTTTATTTTTCGTAATGTCACGATTTTATGCTTACAAAAGTTCTAAAGCTTCATGACTGCTTTTTGTAACTGCCTAAGCGATAATGACGTCCGGAATTTTTGTTAAAAGTAATTTTTCAAATCATGACGCCATCAGCTTTATTTTTATTAGAAATACTGACTTTACTTAGTTGAATAGAATAAATGGCAACAGTACGTATTTCTACACAAATTCATCAGATTTACTAAAAGTTTTCGAATATTCAACTTTCGGAACCGAGCGGAACACAATATATATGATGGTGTAACTCATTGGATTTTAAATTATTTTTCCCAAATATACCTAAGTTAGAAATTTGTTGAGTTGATTCAGATTTGTTTTTTGGATTATTTTATAAACAAATCTTACATTAATATTCTCTGCTGAATTTTACAGAATACTATTTTGTTCATATGGTTATGACATTACTAAATGTGTCACAAAAATAAAAGTCATCTTATTCAAAACTACGTTCTGTGAGTGCATTTTTTATGTAACGGTTTCATAGTAATTAGTTTTTATGACAAAATTGTGGTTGGAAGAGAAATCCCATTAGTCATTGATTTCCGGAGGCTGACAAGATATTATTTTTATTATTATTATTTTAAATAATGATAAGTCACTCGTGTCACATGTCCGTAAGAATATGCATCAGTGGCCAATACTGGAACGAGAAGATAGTAAATAAACTACATTTTCTTAAAATATATATTCTGTGAAACTAATTTGCGATTTTCGTTTATACTTTTGGTAACTATTTGTTGTTATTAAAATTGTTAATAACAATAGTGACTTGATCAACTTTGTAATCTTATTATAAGTTCAATCAGTCAAGTGCCGTAGCAAGACTTCATAGTTCAATTACTCTAATTCAGATATAATATGAAATGATACGGTGAAGTTTTTGAATCTTTTTTTGGCTTTTTAGAAATTTTTGTTGATGTAGTGTTTGATGTTGACCTTTAACAGAGTATTGTTGATATTTTAGTACATGTGTGTAATTAGCTAGTATATAGAGTTTTGAGCCACTAAAGTTAGCTAAGCTGTAAGTTTGTTCTAGCCTATCGAAATTATGGACGTTTTATAAAACCCTCTTTTGTACAAAGAACAGGTCGATTACCATGTTACGGTTATTATAGTAGATTTTTTCTGCACAAATTTGTAACGTTCCATAGTTTATATACGTTACAATGCCCACGTTTTTTCATGTCCTACAACTTATAAGTATTTTCCAAGTATTTGAAAGTGTTAAGGCATAACAATATAGATATTTTTATTAATTTCTTTTGCTCTTATAATTAAAAATAGATAACTCAATTTGAACTACTCAGCTATTGCCTAGTGGCGTAGATATTTATTTTTAAAGACAAATATCTAGGGACTTATGGCCAGTCGCTAGGTTTTCTGGGTGGAATTTTCGTGCTATTTTCAGAATGTAATCTCCGTTATTAACAGACCTATGGTTTTGAAATTTTAAATATATGTTGTCCATAACTTTATTTCTATAACGCAAGGACAATTTTGTTAAAAACAGTTTGTGATCATATTTTTCTCTGAATTGTAGTGTAATTTTTGCATAACGTATATATTTTTAAAAATCAATATCTCAATTATTAAAAGAAATTTCAGAACACGGTTTTCAGCTTACAAAGCTCCAGAAATCATACCAGATATATCGTCGATTTTTTTTGTTAGAAACGATACACAGTAAAAAAAAGCTTGTGTCATAGAAGTTGCCAACTTTTATTTTTACTATATCTCAGTCTCAACAAATAGACCTAGTACGATTTCTAAAGTGTTGCAAGCTGAAAACAGTGGTGACAACCCCGTTCCAAAATTTCCGTAAATAACTGAAATATTGATTTTTTAAAATACGTGATGCAAAAATTTCAACAAAATTTAAAACATATATGATGATAAATTGTTTAAAAAAACTGCCCTCGCAGTTATGTAGTGAAAGTTGTGGACAAATTACATTTAAAATTTCATAACCATAGGTGTGTTAATAATGGAGATATTACATTCTGAAAACATATTGACTCCTCTTAACTGGACACATTAAAACTACACTGGGTACTGCTTATTAACTGTAAAAATTGAGTAAAAACAAACTACTCTCTTCTCAAGGGTGCCGCTAAATTTAAATTTGTTAGCAGCTGGTATTTACTATCTCAGATAAATGAAGAAGTCCCTTTTAAAACGTGATTAAAACTTTTCAGTTGACGGACGTAACAGAGCAAGTTGTAACAATTTTAAAGGCACAGGTTAAATTTTAATTTGACTTGCATTGTCTACTATTTGACCTATCGAATTTTTATGTAGCAAATTATTGTTGAAAAATCCAAATTTTACCAGAACTCAGTATCAAACATTTTGATACGATAGTAAATTGAAATGAAAGCACACGGTATGAAAGAATTTTTTGCAACAGTAAGTTATATCTATATCAGTAATATGAATATTTAAATTTATGTCCATATAAAATATATTTTATTGTGTTACTACTTGGTTGGTACATACGTGTTGGCAAGTTGTGCAAGTAAAACACGTTGCAAATGACACTTGTGTAGAAAAATTGTAAATAATGACTGTATATTGTTTTCATTTTTTGTAACAGTTAGTATTTATGAATTTTTAACGAAATCCGCCTAAAAATTCCCAGAATATGTATGTTTCGAAACTATGTTTAGAGCATTGTTTGAAAAATTCGTTAACATTAATTACCTCTTAAAGAACACTTGTAACCAGATTATAAAAAAATGATACCAACTGAAATCACTTTAAAATGATTTAAAAAATGCGTATCATTTTAGTGACAGCACGAAAAACATTCAAGTCGTATCTGTTTCAGGATAAATTCAACAAAATGATGCAACTGCTACCTGAGATCCACAGCTTGGCGGCGCGAGGAGAAGAGCACCTTTACCACAAGCATTGCAGCGGTAGCGCGCCAACCCAGACGCTTTTAATGGAAATGCTCCATGCGAAAAGAAAATAACGGCCGTCCGCCTCCTCATTTTCGTTACCATATCTGTGTGCAATACCAGCTTACACTGTACATAGGTTATTGGAAATCTCGTAGTTGTTGACATTGATGCCTTCAAGAAGTACAAAGAGCTAGGGCGGCCAGGCCGCACCGCCACCACATATTTTTATAAAACTAGAGAGCGGCCACAGCACCCTGCTCCGTTGTTTAATTTATAAATGTTACGTTGATTTGAGTTTTATGAACGAAACACATTCCAGAAGTGCTCTGGAGGGATTCAAGGGCATCCTAGCATAGGGTAGCGTAGCTTTTAAGCGCGAGTGAATGAATGCTTGTGGATGTTGCAGACCAAGCGCACTGCACTATTTCAACGTTTTAATATTAGTACGTGTGGGAACCGCCCGCGGAGGACGGCTTCTCGTTAGCTTAACCATGGTGATGGACTAACAGCTGTAATTTTATGTAATTATAGAATTATACATATATATACAATTTATTACTAGTTACTAAGTTTAATTATATTATAAATATATTTGATTATGTTATATATATGAATGTTAATATTATGTGAGAGCAAGGTACTGTGGTCTAACCTGTGTTATTGTTATCATTAAATTGATAAATATTACTGATTGTTTGTGTTGTGCAGGCTACCTCTAAAGTCTCCTTCGCGTGGGGCCGCTGTGCGAGTCCCTCTGCGCTGGTAAAGCGGAGTCTATTAAAATGTTAGAGTATCTTGCCCTGTGACATGCAAAAGGCCCTGAGCTTATTATTGATTGATCAGATATATATTTATATATAAAATACGTACACTTATTTAAGCAGTGTGATTGCGAAGATGTATATATAATTTATGTGGATCAAAGTGACTTGTTTGTAGAAATAAATCACAGTGAAATTAATGCAGTTCCTTATTGTAAACCTCATCTAGAAATTCCATTAGAATTAAACCTTGCACGTATGTAAAAGGAACTGCTAATTTTTGCAAAAAAAGAAACTCAGAAACTCGCTATTATTTAATAGATGTGATTTGTATAGTGTTATTTTAGGTAAGTTACCTAAGAATTGTATCTTTTGATACTCCATAGACTGTTGATGAATTAATAGTAGAAATAATGAAAAGATACATAAATAAATGAGTATGAATGATAAATTATTTATTTCAGAAATTGCAGTTTCGCTCAAAACATTCAATTGTTATTTTATTAGTATACTGGGTTATCTCAAAAATGTACAGAATAAAAAATTAATTTTAAACATGTGCATCATATATGTAGTTTACTTGGGTTATTTCCTACTAAAAAAGCTTTTTTACTTTTTATGTAAAGGTTTGTTGGATTGCTTACAGTTTGAACAAAAAAAGATAATTACACGTGAATTATATACCTGTAAACAAAAATTCCGTGGGATAAACTGAAATCTTACTCTACTGCATTTATTGATTACATAGTACATAGAATCCATTGTTTTATGGTATTAGGTATGTCTCATTGTAAAATAGCTGTTGCTTTATGTAGAAAATACTGTTCTTTTTCTACAGTCCAGTGTTAAAGATGTCATGAACAGACTATACCAACATGATTTAGTATCAACATTGCACTTGGAGATGTTAATAGTTGATCAACAATGGGGAGTTTAATGTGGGTTGCAATGATGACCAACGTTCAAACATCTTATAAAAATACAACTCGTAAAATTTAACATCATGTTCAGAACGTGATTTTTGTATCCACTAAAATTTTATTGTCGTGTTCTGTTTGTTACCATTCAAACCGTACTTTCCGATTACTGGTTTATTGACATTAACTATTAATACACTTACACGCTAAGTTGCTTATTGTAGTACATGTTGCGGACACCCACACACAAAGTTCAGTCTATGTATATACCGAGAAGTCGAGAACCGCTCTATGCATGCATAGCATATGTTTCTGCGCCTGCGTACTTATGTAGGTGTATGCTCGCCTACATACCATCTGTGAAATGAAGGGCGGTATTAACTGTGTAAACAAACCCCGGTATCAGAATCTCGGGGCAGGGACTTGCTTTTAAAACTTCAGTGTGCCGCCAAATATTTAAAACTTGTATTGCACTCAAAAAATACATATTGGCAAGGGCGTTTCTTTTCTGTGGGAGTTAGTCCTTTCTTTCATTTTCATGGGGGACTAATGTTCACCGTCGCCACTAACCCTGTTCTTATGCCAATACAGTACCAAAATAAAGTTGTGGGTCTGTTTTTCAAATCTCAAAAAGTTAATGTTTGCACGCAAAAATTTTGGCGTATTCTAGAGTGGTGAGATTTGTTATTTAGTTTTAAATAAACGCCAACTTGAATTTTTCATTGAGTAAGTTATCGAATTTTTAGACAATTCAATGTCTACAAGATCTAAAACAAAATTTTCCTTTGTCAGTATCCATCGCTATTTAATCGATACTTATTCTTTAGTTGATTTTGCTAAAACAAAATCACACAGACACAGACTATTAGACAGAAGTTTACTTTTATTTAAAAACTTAATAGTACTTGTTGTATGTATATGTATATTTGTCACTTTTACGACAGCTGAGTAAAAAGAAACAAATCTCTATCTGTTTTACATTTTTAACCTTTTTGTATTCCAATACCTGAATGCCAAAATGATCTGTACATGTTTGAATTCTTGTGGAAACCAGTAATAAAGCAAGAATTTACGCGATCCGGAAATGATTTTCACATCTCGTGATTTAGATATTTCAACATACCTACTTATGTAGCACAAGGTTCCTATTCTATCAAGGCCAGCAAAATGTTTACTAGGTTGAGATGAAGAGAGTTGCTGCAGTTAAAGAGTAATAGTTTCTGGAAAAATGCTGCAAGAAGTTTGATTTTTTATTACAATTTTATAAATAAAAATTGTACGTGGAGGAATTTTGTGTAATTTCCGGATTACCCGGAATATCAAATAACTACCTGATTTCACTTTCCTGTATTAGTTGCATGAAAATAATAATAATAAATGGCTTGACACTTCTAAGTCGATTTTCAATTGGAAAAATGGTGTCCACAATTGCATAGCTCAAAAAATAAAGATGAGATAGGACGGTTCCTGAAAGAAACTGCCGATAAGCAGTTTTTGCTTACTGAGGTAAGATATGCTTAAATTGTCTTCAAATTACTGTAATTTATATTTTTCCTAGGTTGCTTTGATAGCTGGCATCGCTGGAGCTTGCAGAAAAGAAGAACCCACTAAATTGTTCCTAGAAAATGTTAAGGATGAAGGGTTGATTTTCCATATACAAATCCCAAACACCAAAATCAAAATATATACAGAGAATTTTTTGTAACGGTTAGTGGCACCAAGGATTTGATATGGTGGAAATAATTAGGAAATATTTGGCATTACATCCTCAGCACACGAATCATGGAAGATTTTTTGGTGGATACAAGAAAGGTTTTTGTACAATACAATCGGCATTACTTAATACATTTGTGCCAAAAAATATCACTAAATTTTTTAATTTATCAGATCCTAAAGAGTACACTGGGTATTGCTTCAAACTCTCTTCTAATTCGACAAGGAGACAGCTAACGACATCAGCTGATATCGCTATATTCAATTGGGAAAATGTTGTTAATAATGTTTATGGTAACCCTAATACATAAATGTTTTATTGTTTGTAATTTACTTAAACAAAATGTCCCTTCACTATATTTATAAATTTATTCTTGAAGATCAAAATGAGTTGTGTAATGAATTTCATTACACCACTAGTGAAATAATATTTAAGATTACATAACTCAAGTAGCCGTCACAATTGTCATGTAGGTGGTTAATAAAAATATATTTAAATAGTAGGCCAAAAACGAAATTAAACTCAAAGGTAACAATCTTCATTTTTGCTTGAATCAGTTTTATTTACTACTGATTCCAAAATAAATGCTTAATGGATGAATTTTTAGATTTCAGGTAGGTACAGAGTATGTTCCGGGAGAAGTTTTTTGACGGACACAATTTTTCCTTTTACTGACAACATAGTCAATTACTGGGTACATAAAGAATTTTGGCCCTAGTTATTGACATCCCCTTCATTATAAGTTAGTAAATATACTCAACCAAATGTTCTTTAAATAAATCAGTTCAATGATATGCATATTCACATTAAACATTGCGACACTCAATGAAACTAATTATGGACCAGGAAAATGGAGTGCCATCATTTCAGTATACTTACCTTTGCATTAGAATAACGAGGAGCATTAATGTCAATTTAGTTATATTTTTGAATCTTATATCACTGTTGTCAACATGACTATGAAGTAATTTCCTGGATTTGAATGGTAAATAAACGTAATAATTACAGTAAACAATAAAAGTATCAAACACTGGTGCACTGTCAGTAACTGGTGTCTTTATCTTACCAATATGATCGACTTTTTTGAAAAGTTTGGAATTAGTAAAGAAAGGAAGATTTTGAAAATAGAAAACTTTTACAAATGAGCAATATGAGTTTAGGTGGAATAGACAACAGTTACTTATTCTAATGAAAGGTACTGTAAACAATTTCGACAATGGAAATTTAATATCTGAGGCAATAGTTGATTTGAATAAGGTATTTGATTGGTCAGATTGAATATTATGGACTTATAAAGAACAAAACTACGATTTACTTAATTTCTACTCAAGTAAAGTTTGCCAGAAGTCCTATAATTCCTATATTAGTCACACCTCTATCATTTTAATGATTTACCAGTTAATATCGAATTTAATAAAATCATGGTTCTCAATAATACTAGTTAGTTACAATTACTATTAAAGAAAAAAACAGTGAGAATACTGTCTCAATGAGTATTGAAAGATACGTACAAAACTTCTTGGAAAAAAAAAACAAGTATTTACCGTTGCTCTGTCTGTATTTACAATACCTACCAACCACATTCATAAACGCATATGAATACCAGTATTTATTGCCAAAAAAACTCGTAGCTATTGTGCCAGAAGTCAGGAATTATTAGTTACTTCATATCATCGTCCAAACAGAACTTATCAAAAAAAACCCAAACTAATTTTACTAGAAACATTTTCTAATCTGTAGATAAATTTGTAAATTGTTTTAAATGTAAATGATCTACAAGATAATTTTATTATAGTTTTTCATGTTCTATGTTTTCATGTGTATGCATATGTACATATACAGAGTGAGTCACTAAGCGCGCGGTCCTCGAAATCTCATAAATTATTATTAGATATATTGTCTTTGCCGTTTCTATTCAAACACCACCTGTTGATTTTGTTTAAAATTTAGCAATTGGTAATAGCTTTCCGTTGATTGACAACGGCTTTTAGTTACAAAATTGTCTGAATATGAACGTTGCCAAATTTACGATTAACCAGTGGTGTTTCAATAGAAATGGCAAAGACTATAGATATGTTATTTTTAAGATCTCTGTGCAATATTTAATGGGGAAATAAGCAGAGGTACGCACTTTGTTGTGGTATCCATTAAATACAATTTTAATATACAGAGTGTTTATAAAAAATTCTAAAACGTTACGATTTTCAAATATCTTTTCATACCTTCAGCTTTTTTGTACCTTTATTTTAATACTGCATTTTACTCTTGTTTTTCTCTTTCTTTTCGATATGTCCGTGTTTCTTAATAAAGAAAAAACAACAAAAAGAAGATTAAGATGCAGTAAGAAAATAGAGGGTGCTCTATTTGAAAAAACTGAAATATCGATATATGAAAAGTGTAATAATTTTTTCAAGAAAATTGGAATAACGTGGCAACGTCGCATTAGAATTGCAAAAACAAATTGTGGTAATAAAGCCTGACCTCTTCTTAGGCTCAGAATATGTAAAATGTGTATATAGGGCATTCCATTAAAAAAACTAAGTTGTATGTTACGCCTTAATGATAATGATAATGTCTTTATTTCCAACAAAACACGATACTCTTATCTCGTAGTTGATAACAATTGTAGTGTATGATCCTTCAAGTGTTTGACTTTGTCAAATAATTAATGACTTAATGAGATATCGAGGACCGAGCGCTTAGTGACTCACACTGTATATCCTCTAAGATATATTTTAGATGAGACCAAACAACATTTTTATAATTTTGTATACGATTAAATTATTATTGTTATTATTTATTATTATTGAAACACCCCCTATAAAATATAAGATCTTGCTTATTATCTAAAAAAAAATGATCTAAAAACCCAAAATAGTTCTCGTAAAAGAAGACGGTAGTTAATATACGTAAGCTTATCCTATTTCTTTCCAATACATTAGCTCTCTATCTCTCATGTCTTACGTGCGCTGATGACAGCCTCCCTTTATGAGAAAACTTTTGGATCATACGGTATAATATAATAACTAACAATAATTATCAATAACTTAACATCGATAAGTTGTGTTTTATTTAATCGCTCCTTGGAATTAATTTAGCCTTAAACGGTTTAGGTGATATAGTCACTCCATCGACACCTTCGAGTTGTGGTGAAGGTCCCTCGAAAGACTTTTCCAAATAAAAATTGTGCAGTAACGCTGTAAAAAATAAAAAGTAATTTGCTTTCGCCAAAGATTCACCCAAACAACGACGTTTTCCTAAAAATATTGACATAAATGTCAATACTCAGTTACATGCTCCCACAATCCTTACCATATCCAAAAGGTAGAAAATATTTTTCATTTACACTCAAATTTCCATTTTTGTCAAGAAATCGCTCTGGTCGAAAAGCTAATGGATCTATCCAAAATTTCTCATCCATGTGTACACTGTACAAACTTGTTAAAATAATAGTATCTTCTGGTACAGCATACTGAAATATGTTTGTTTTGCGTGTTGCTCGATGTGCGATTCCCAGAGGAGGAATATTGGCACGTCTTTGAATTTCCATTAGAACGGCCTCTGTGTATTTCAACCTAAAAGATTACTGTGGAGGTGAACTATGGTTTTACTACAAGTACCCCAGAAGTAACCATAATATGTAAATTTTGATATTACTTAAGTCTATCTTGTAAAGTCGGCCATCGATTGCGTCCTACAATTTCATCCATTTCTTCTTGCACCTTTTTTTGAATTTCTGGAAATTCAAGCATATACACCACGGAAAAACTCAAAGTATTACTGGTAGTTTCAGAACCCGCCATGAACAAATCGAGACATAAAGACATGAGTTGATCATCTAAAACCGCAAAAGTTAAAACTGTTTATTAATTGGAAGAAAATGCCACTACCCGTAAATGAAGGATCGCTTTTTATATTCATATTTTGTAAAAATGCATCAATTAGATCCCTGGCGTGCAAACTACATAAAGTTTTTCTGTGATCAGTAATTGTTTCCTGAAAAATGTTCAAACAACGACGTTATTATTTAAATTAATTAAACATTTTATTAGTTGAACTACAAAAGATCGAAATCAGCGAGCAGATCTGCATTTTATATGAAAGACTTCGTACACAGTGTTATCAACTGGTAAAACCCACAAATCTTCTGTACAGGTTTAAAATAAAATCAACAAAAAGTCGAAATCACTAAATTTGACTTAAATCAAATTGACTCAGTGCATACATCCTAGGAAAACATACGCAATTGTTACAAGATACATTAGTTCAATATTGTAAATAGCAAGGATAAGCCATGCTTTTGTTAACGCAATTACACTGAATGATCTTCTAAAACAGAGTTACAAGCTTTACAACTTTATAGCGAAGCTTGAAAAGTTTTGATAGAATAAGCTGGTATTATTATAAGTTATAATAAGGGATAGGACAATCAACAAAACATTAATTCTGGTAGACAGACTATAGAATCAACCAAATATTATTTTCTGTTAACCCTCTGACATATTAGTAAGTACCTGCAAAAATTCCCACATTCGAATCAAGACGTCCATTAACTGATTATAGCCACACGTTTCTGGCGCAACAAATCTTACAAAAGGCATTTGGTTCAATATACCACCAGACATATCAGTAAGTTTAAAAGCGTCACCAAGAATGTTTAACAATTTTCTAAGTCTTTCGTCATTTATGTCGAATCTTTCTCCTGCCATCATAGCCCATAGAACGTTCAACACTGAGACATCGAAAGCTGTGTGCATCCAGATAGGCTCAGAACACTGTTTTTTAAAAACAGTAATCAAATCTCTAGTTTCTTCAACGATTTTCTCTTCCATTTCCTTTCGGCCAAAGCCGAAATTACGTAAATGTTGCAGAGAAAATTTACGTTGTTTCTGCCACAATTGTCCATCCGAAAACACAATTCCTAAAACAAAAATATGTTTTCAGATTTTTTTGTCCTTGGATGATTTTCGGAAAGACAGTTTATTTCGAAGATATAGGGCAACAAAAGCTTTCCGAACAAAACAGTACATACTTTATTAATTCATATTACACGTAAAGATTCTTAATTTACAAATTCACGCATCCAATCTTCCCTTTATTGAGTTCCGAACTTTTTCAAAAATACCAGGGTTTTTCTTATTGCATTACATCCCTCAGTTATCCGATTTCTCAAATCTTTTTCATTTTTCGCTGGAGTAGTGTGCACTAATGTTTTCAAACGGTTCCATAAATAAAAATTCAAGAGATTCAAATTTGAGGATTGAGTAGGCCATAAGTGAGATCCACCTCAACCATTCCAGCGATCACCTTATGTGCAGTACACCGTAGTTTACTTTACTTTTATCATCCCGTATCTTCGAAACAAACCGTCTTTCCGAAAATCATTCAAGGATAAAAAAAGTACGAAAGTGTGCGAAACGTTGAGCCCAAAAACTCAATTAACACGGTTCCAACCCGGAAAACGATCATGTATTGATTCCGACCGTGGAAGTCTCCGAAATTATTTTCAATTATAATATAACAAGTGATATGATTATTATCGATAATATTTCGAGTGAAACCGAGCTGCAGATTCAACGAGTGCGAAGCACGAGTTGAATGTGCTGCTTCGGTTTCACGAGCCATATCTTCGATTATTAATCATATCACGAGTCATATTCAACATGAGAATATAATAAATTAACACATTTTTTTATAATAGAATTGATTTCGTCGTTTTGAGCTTGCCCCCAACGTTGGCAAACCATAAAAGACAAAAAAATGTATGAAATTCTAAAATTTGACAATTTGACAGTTTTTAAATTTAGGTAGCAACAGACCACAATAAGGCAATAAAATTATTATCGCTGTGATAGACATGTAACTAAGGGCATGAACAAATTCTATTGGAAGAAATGGGATCATGTGATACATGAATTATATTCTCAGTTAAATGTTTAATAAAAAATCGTCCTCTGTCTTACGACGATAAAATTGTAGTGAAAAATTTAGGTAGAGAAAATTTCATAGATATTTTAATAGACATACCATGTATGATAAATTGTTGTAGACGTGCGGTTGTGAAAAAAAACATAAATTGTTTTGTTTTGTGTATCTCTTCAGTAATGAATTAAAACCAAAGATATGTAGACAAACACTTTTTTACTTTTATTAAATGTATTTTTGTATTTATTTTCGTCACACAATTTCGTCTATTAAGTGGTAATATTAGCTTGTTTTATGTCTTCATATTTAACTGATCAATCAAATTGTGTCCCCCATTTCAAAACGTCACGAGCTGCCACTGCTATTTTTTGTTCCTTTTCTTTCGATATGTCGGTGTGTCTCTTAATAAGTAAAAAGTCACAATCACAATGACTCTCAAGTTTAAATATAGAAATTACTTAACAAAAAAGAAAGAGAAAAAAAGAACAATAAAATGCATTATTAAAATATGGAATGTTCTATTTGAAAAAACTTTTTTTGACACTCTGTATGTATATTAAAATTCAATTTTATATATACCAAAATAAAGCACGTGCCTTTATTTTTCTCCAAACAATATTCTAACCGATTTTAAAAATAATCATATTCTAATTGAAAAAAATAACAAATTATGTGTTATACCTTAAAAATAGAACACTCTGTTTAGTTGAAGATAATTTTATTGTGTGGTAATCAAAGAACCTTTCAACTTTAGCCTTTGAATTTTTGCTAGTTCTAATAATTATTGAGATTCGAATACCGCGCGCTTAGTGATTCACCCTGTATATACCAGATGAGACAAAATCGTGATTCGTATACGTAAGCTTATCCTATTTTTTTCGAATACTCTCTAGTCTCCATATTAGTTCTCTATATTTCATTCCAACTAATCGGCGAATAAATTATTGGTTCAAAAATGCTCGAAATGAAAAATGATTCTGTGTTTCAGTTGTTAGAATTATTAATTTTTGCTGAAAAACAGTTTGTTTTTAGAAAACTTTATTTTAAAAATGCGCTATTGGGTTAAAGAATAATAATTATTCCAAAAGAAAAGTGACTGTTTTTTTTTAATGTTCATTTCCGGTGAACCTGACAGAACCATCGTCCGAAAGAACCATCCATGTTATTTTGTAATAATTATTTTGTAGGGTACTTTGATAATGACATTTTTTGATTAGTTGTGTTAAAAATAAAAGTAAATTTTATCTTATGTGAAAGCGGACAAGTTTATGATTACAATTTTTTATATATTCCCCATTGATTAATTTATTTCCTACACAAAATCATTATCATTGTGTCTTGCCACGATGTCAAGGCGATTCGTTTAATGTGTAAGACCAATTCTAAAATTTTACTGCAAAACTTTTTATTTTGTTTTCCCCTGTGTAAGGTCGGGAAATATTGTGTTAGGGTTCATCTGGCGTACGACTAATCTTTTCTCGACGTTTCACACCTCTTACAGTATGAAAACGTAGGTCTGCCGTCTGTCTATCATCTGTCGTCTAGTGCCTATTGCCTTTTCGACTATTGGACCGATTACACAGGTCTGCGTTGAAAAAATTTAAACACCTAAGGTTTTTTCTATTTATTTATATCTATAGAGCCAATGAACAGTTACAATAGTAAAGGAAATAGTAAAACTTTTGTTTGAATAAACGATCATAATTTTTATTTGTAGCAAGGTTTTGCTTTATCCAGTGGAATTGATTGTTTGGAAATTATAGGTGAATAAAACTGAACGAAACGATTGAAATGTGTATTGCAACTTTGTGGTACATCAACTGAACTTACGTTGTCAAGTGCGCACATGCGCAAGCTTATGTCGGTAATACAGTTAGCAAAAGGGTAGTTTTCTATAATATCAACACTCCCACTAGAAAACTACAACTATCAACAACAAAAATTTTTAAATTTAAATAAAGTAAAATTAACGCTTCTTGAGTCCCATTTCCTTCAGGTGCTTTTCATGCAGTTCCAGAGGTAATGCTTTGGTCATCACATCAGCTGTCATTTCCTTCGAAGCAATGTGTTGAACTTGTATGGCCTTTTCTTGAATTTGCTCACGAAGGAAATGATGTCTCACATCTATGTGCTTTGTCCTTGCTCTGTATCCTCCCACTCGACTCAGATCCACTGCGCTTTTATTGTCACATTTCAGAATAGGTCCTTCGTCATCGACTTCAGGCATTAATTCATTTAGAAGGCCCTGTAACCAAATAGCTTCTTGCGCCGCTGCACTTAGAGCCATGTATTCTGCTTCAGTTGTGGATAAAGCAATGGTGGGTTGTTTCTTGCTATTCCATGATACAGGGGCCCCTTGGAATGTAAAGACATATCCTGTGGTTGACCGTCTCTCATCTTCATCACCTGCCCAGTCTGCGTCACAAAAACCTGCAAGTTTTCCATTCTCTGTCCTTGTAAAACAGAGTCTGAAGTCCTTTGTGCCCTGGATGTATCGAAGGACTCGTTTCACAGCTGACCAGTGAGCAGAGCCTGGATTATTGTTAAATCGGCTCAATAACGCTAGAGAATATGCCAGGTCCGGACGCGTACCCTGACATGCATACATTAATGACCCAACTGCCTCTTGATATGGTACATTCTCCATGTTTTGAACCTCGTTCGTTGATTTTGGGCACATTTCTTTTGTTAGCTTCTCGGATGGACTTAACGGAGTTTTAGTCGGATTGCAGTTTGCCATGTTGAATTTTGATAAAACCTCTTCTAAATATTTTGATTGGTCCAACCATAATTTGCCCTCTTTTCTGTCTCTTGTTACCCGAATTCCCAGGATATACTGTAATTCTCCCAAATCTTTCATTTTGAATCTGCTTTCCAATTCTTTCTTCAATTCATTTTTCATTTTTGAATCGTTGCCCAAAATGAGTAAATCATCTACATAGACTGCGACAATTACAATCTTATTATCCTTGCAAAGATAATATATGCACTCATCTCGTTTTGATTGATTTAGCCCAATTTCTATAAACGCTTGATGTAACTTCAAATTCCATTGTCTTCCAGCTTGCTTCAAACCATACATTGCCTTGTTTAATTTGCAAACTTTATTTTCTTGGCCTCTAACTTCAAATAATTCAGGCTGCTGAATAAAAATGTCATCGTTAAGATCTCCTTGCAAGAACGCAGTCACTGCGTCCATATGATCAATGTCAAAGTCATACTTGACTGCAAGGCCTAAGATCAATCTAATCGAATTGTATCGTACCACAGGTGAATAGGTTTCTTGATAATCTATCCCCTTACGTTGACAACAACCTTTCACTACAAGTCTGGCTTTAAATCGATCTATGTTCCCATCTTGATCTAATTTTGTTTTAAATACCCATTTGCTGTCAATCACTTTAGCATTGGTTGGCAAATCTGTGAGAGTCCATGTTTTGTTTTCAATGAGTGCATCGTATTCAGCTTGCATTGCTTCAAGCCATCTTGTACACTCAGGACTCGAAACAGCTTCTTCAACATTTTTGGGCTCCCTCGTCAACGACTGAACATGGTAGCAAATATATTCAGAAAATTCCTTTGCTTTTCTTTCCCTACTTGATTTTCTTATAGCGGGTTCTTCTCTTTCGGTGTTTTCGACTTGCTCAACATCATCATTGGTTTCAATTTCATGGACATTACATTCAACCTGAATTTCTTCAATTTCTTGTTCATCAATTTCGTCTGCTTGAGTTTCTTCGATCTCACACTCTTCACTTTCTTCGGTATGATCATGGAGGTTCGTTTCATCGGTGATTGGGTAAAACAACCAATCATTGTTTTCACATTGCGATGCCTTTGGAAGTTCTTTTTCAAAAAATACAACATCTCTAGCCTCCACAATTTTCTGTTTTCTTATGTGATAGAGCCGGTAGCCTTTCGAACCATTTGCATAGCCCACATGAATGCATTCTTCTGACTTCGGGTCCAATTTTCTGCGTTGTTGTTTAGGCACGTGAACAAATGCCCTACAACCAAACACTTTTAAATAGGATAGATCAGGTTTCTTACCTGTGTAAGCTTCATTTGGTGTGACATCTTTCAATGTTCTTGTCGGTGCTCTGTTGATCAAGTGGACAGCTGTATTTACGGCTTCTGCCCAAAACCTTTTCTTCAAATTGGCACCAATTAATAAGCAACGCGTTTTTTCTATGATGGTGCGGTTCATCCGCTCTGCAACTCCATTTTGTTCGGGCGTATGTGGAATCGTTGTTTGGTGACAAATACCAGACAATTTCAGCAGCTTGAGCAACCTGTTGTTGACATATTCAGTTCCATTGTCAGTCCTCAGAGTCTTGATTCTATTTCCCGTCTGATTCTCTACCATATTCTTGAATTCTTGGAAAACATCGTGTACTTCTGATTTGTTTCTTAGGAAGTAAACAAATACTTTGTGGGTGAAGTCGTCCACAAAAGTGAGAAAGTATTTTGATCCTCCCAATGAATTTTCCTCCATAGGACCACATAGGTCTGAATGGATTAGTTCCAAGGGTCGGCTTGAGTTCTTGACATGTGGCTTAAATGGTAGACGGTGTTGTTTGCCCTGCACACATACCTCGCAAGGTTCACTCAGCGAATTTTTGAAATTCGTTCCCGTAACGACCCCGTTTTTTATTCGGTTCATGCTGTCCGTTGACGGATGGCCTAGTCTGCTATGCCATAGATGTATATTGTCAGCAACCGATACTGAGTTAGCACCGTGCACCTTATTTTTCGGTCGATCCAGTTTGTACATGCCATTCTTCAGTGTGGCACTGGCGATGAGGGCGTTGCTTTTGTCGTATATACTGCATTTACTGCTCTCAAAGTACACCTTGTGCCCCTTATTGGTTATTTTACTCACAGACAGCAAGTTTGTTGTCAAATCTGGCACAAACATAACCTCTTTTACGTTTATTTTGTCAGGTGTACCACCTGTACAAACGTCCAAATTTACCTCCCCCACTGCATCGACATTTAGACGATTTTTATTGGCTACTATAATTTCCTGCGTGGATGAAGGAGGTTTGCTTGCGGATGTCAGCCATGTTTTGTCGTTTGTTAGATGGACCGATGCGCCGGAGTCGATATACCATTCATTTTTTTCAACATGATCGTTTCCCGTTGACAAGACTGTTAAGAAGGATTTCGCTTCCTTCGTGTTGGAAGATTTGCCATTTTCTCTCTGCAGGCGAGCCTTTCGTTTAAAACAATTCTTCCCGAGATGACCAATTTTATTACATTCAAAACACCGTGGCCCATTTTTAGTATAGTTCTTCTTTTCGGCGTGGTTTCCGAAGAACGCTACTCCATTTTTGTTTGAACTGCTTGTATCGACCTTGACCTCTTGTAATAGTTTCACCTTGATGGAGTCACTGGTAATGGCGATACCGGAGCTTTCTAGTCCCATTATCATTGGGCGATAATGGTCTGGCAATCCAGCAAGTAATAACGTCCCGAGCCATTCATCACTTACAACAAAACCAATATTCGTCAATTTATGTCCTGTTGAAATAATCTTGTTAACGTACTCTTCTACGGAATCACAATTTTCCAACTGAGTTGTGATTAAGGTACGTAACAGGCCAACTCTTCGCGTAAGTCCTTTATCGTCGAAGGCCTTGATTAAATTTTCCCATGCCTCTTTCGCTGTCTTCGCATTTTGCACGTGGACATAGTTTATGGGGTGTATCGACAGGATTATTTTGGCCTTAGCCTTTGCAACTTGTTTTGCCGTAGTGTTCGTACCCTCAACACATTCCCACAACTCTTCATGCTCCAAATATGTTTGCATTGCGAATTTCCATGAGTTGAAGTTTTCGCGCCCTAGTAGTTTTTCGATCGGTGGTAGCGTGGACGCTGCCATTTTGTTGCCGGAACACAAAAGTTTTTATCACTGAGATATATCGGATTCACCTTATTTTTACACGCGGCCAAACAATCAGCAGTACCCTGGGCCCATAACCTGTAGCAAGGTTTTGCTTTATCCAGTGGAATTGATTGTTTGGAAATTATAGGTGAATAAAACTGAACGAAACGATTGAAATGTGTATTGCAACTTTGTGGTACATCAACTGAACTTACGTTGTCAAGTGCGCACATGCGCAAGCTTATGTCGGTAATACAGTTAGCAAAAGGGTAGTTTTCTATAATATCAACATTATTTAATTATGATGATGCAAGAAGTTGGTTGGTATTATCTGTTCTAAAGCCATTGAATTTAGTTCAATACCTTGTTTACAACTGTGTCGCTAGAACTTTATTAGCTTTTTTTGCTATATTTAAGAATATTTTAAAGTCATTTAGATAAAATTTAGACAAAATTGAGAAAAATCCTTGGGTGATGGAGAAAAATGAAGATCATATTTGGATTCAGCACCCAAAAATACATACAGAGCAACCAATAAATTGGCAATTTTTCGAAAGTTAAAATACGCAGACTCGCGTTATTTTTCTGAAATTATAACCATATTTTGAAAGTATCGGGTAGGTACCTACGATAACCAAAATTTGTCTAATTATCCCCACTAAAAATGTTTTGCGGCACCTCAAAATCTTATCCAGCAAATATTACTTAAAATGTGCCACATTGAATGTGGCTATATTTTTAATTCATTCATCTAAAATCAAAATTTGACACTTTAGTTTGGAAACGAAAAAACCAATTGCTCTGAAATTTTGGATATATTTTAATGTTATCGTGATTGTGGTAAAACATAAATCAGAAGTGATGTTTTATTTATGATGAAATTTATGACGTCTCAAAATTTTGCTAAGTAAATACGTAGACATAACGTTCCATTTAAAATGTACTTTATTTGTGACTTAATATTGTGTGCATATTTTTAACGATAAAATTTACGAATTACTTTAATAAGTATTTATGTGTTACCATTAATTTCACGATTAGAGTAGAACGATTAAAATTTATGAAAAGTTAATTAGGTACGTAATCACTAATTGTAATAATGTATGTATTAAATAAATGTTTGTTATTTGTTTTGAAATAACGTTATCTGCAATTGGGTGATGTTTTTTTGTTTTTTAGAAGTGTTTGTACAGGATATTAAAAAGTAATAATAATAAAAAAATCAGTTAATTTTAATGATTAAATAACAATTGGTTTTTTCAACTTTCCTAAAATTGTGAGAGCACATTATAATTTTCTCTTATAATGTGTAGCTGTAAAAAATAAAACTTCCAGAATAACTTTTATAATTAATTCAAATTATACCACTTATATTTTGCAAGCTACTAAAAGCTGGGGAAAAAACAAATTAAATATTCTTAAAATGACTGTTACTGTTAGTTCCTACTTACGCTCGAGAGTATAAATACAATCAAATAATTTTGTGTTTTCTACAGGGTGTTATTGAAAGGTACGTACAACAAAATTGACAGTTCGTCGCAAAGTCTAAGAAGTCTGAAAAACTTATTTTGTGTTATCAAAATTATAAGGGAAAAATTAACCCTTATCTAACCTTTTTAGACGCTACTGAAGCATAAATAGGTAAAATTAATTTATTTGAGTAAATCCTAGCAACTGTAACAATGAAACTTTTGTCAAGACTAAATGTTGCTATAGAAACGAGAGATGATCTTTTTATCAGAGACGTACACCGAATTTGGACATAAATTTTAATAATTTATATCTCTAAAAGGAGAACACTATTACCTGAATTTTTTTTAAGTTTTAGCACCCATACTTTGAGACCAATTGCCGATTTTATTTTGTACGTACCTTTCAATAACACGCTGTATATTACGAAACGTTCAATAATCAAATATATGTAGTTTACTAATGATTTTAAAAATCCAGCAAATGAAATAATGCGTTAGTGATAAAACGTATACTGCTTCTATGGTTTTTACCACGGTCAAATTGTATGATCGTATTTTTAGTCCAGAAATACATTTGTAAAATTAAATTATAAAATAAACTATTAAATATTTTAAAAATTAAATGTCTTCTATTTGAGTGCCATGTGGTAAATAATTAAAATTATGTCCACAACATGACAGAACTGGTGACTAGTTTTAAAATTAGGTCAGTTTTGGTTCCCGTTCTTTTTTGAAATACACGCTGTTACCACCAAATAAACCAACAGAATTATTACTATTGTTATGTCAAATTTTTAACTATGATTTATGTTTTTATTTATTGTCTTTACTTAGTTCACTTTGTCGCTTTGGTGATTACGTTCGAAAAGACCTCTCGATCAGTAATAGAACAGAGGTCAAAAAAGCCACTTACGTATTTACATTAAATGAGCATCTCATGTAAAGTTACCTCGAAGTTTTTTTTATGGAGATTAGAATAAATTAGGTGGGACCGGTTCTTTACAGGTTTAATGGGGTTGTTTTATTTTAGTATGTGGACCATCACCGGTTTGCCCTAACTCAACATCACTGACCTACGCATGTCCGAAATTCTTAACGGATTATAAATATGGTAATTATTAAATTGCACTGACCTAGTCTTTTTCCAAAGGTGCGTAATCGGAAAAAAAATCCATCAGGCCTTCCATCAAATTCTTCTCTTGTGAGGATTTCTTTAACCGCATCTGCACCAAAAACTGTGACCACAAAATTTCGTCCCATTTTTAAACCAACGACACTCCCGTATTCCTCAGAAAATTCTTTCCAAACCAAATGATGATATCCAATAGTCGCGAGTCTTTTTCTGAAATCTAAAAAGTTTCCCACAATCGGTACCCAGGATGGTCCTGAAAACGACACATTTCGCATTTAGCTTTTGAAATGATTGATAAATTTGGCAAAAAATTAATAATTCTAATACATACCAGGAGGATATTCTTTGGGCTTAATTGTGTCCCATAGTAATAATAATAATAATATTACAACTGTTACAAAACATATAAAAGTGAACATGGTGGGTAACAGAGACGACCTCTTCCACTAAACTGATGTCCTTCTTGTATACTCGATCTCTTATGTGCATCAGCTAAACAAAAGTTGACCTGTTGAACTATTCAAAAATAGCAGAAAAAACACGTATTTCTTTCTTTCAAATTATAATTTTTAAAAAGTGTTTGTATTTTTATCTGTTTGTCTTATTTGTATTTAAACTAACAATTATTTACATCATTATCATTTTTGAATTTAAAGCGTTTCATAAATTGAAGTACATACCTGATTACTGCAAAATAATCTTTAAAAAACATTTTTAGAATAATTAGCAAATATATTAGTTGTAACGTTTGTCTGTAATTCTATTATAAAGTGTGTTTGCGGTACGAAACTGCAACATATTCTGTTATTATTTTGTCTTTAGAACATTGTATATTTTTGAGGTGTTATTGTGAATACAAGAAAAAAAATGAATACATGTTGTCTGTTTCGTGAAAGTTTTTTTGTGGAGATTCAAATAAATTAGATAGGACCGGTTGTTAGCGGGCTTAATGGGGCTGTTTTGTTTTAATATGTTGACCACCACCGGTTTGCCCTAACTCAGAATCATTGAACGAAATCCTAGGGAAATGCACAAACATTTTTTTATAAAATGAGTGCTTGTAAAAGGTTTTAAAAATTGGGAAGTAATCATTTAAATACAGAACAATACGCACAAATTAAAAATTAAAAAAAGATCGTGATCATTGCCGACTTTAGGAAAATAGTTTACATTAACATATTTTCCAACATTTCATATTAAAATCATTGAAAAAAAAAAAGATCCTACAAGAAGAAAAGTTTCTGTTTATATTCATCGGTATCAGTGAGGCTTTTTAAAAAATATTTAATTAACTAGTCGTATCTTTAAAACCTTTTAAAATTTTTAATTCATTTTAAGCGTTATTACTTGGAAACACTTCATCCAATTTTTTATTTGCAATAAAACCAATAGAACCAATTTTGGGTAATGTTGCTAAATTAGGTTATAGGGCATTTAATCATTATTAAATTCTCTTAGAATACAATTTTATCTTTTAAGTAGAAGGCTCATTTAAGTCGAGAATTTTTATTTTAATTGTTCGTAATGCTCAACGTGGTACAATGTGTTGCCACGAAATAATGATAGTTGTTCCTGAAATGCGCTTGTGTTCGACTTCAAAAAGAGTTTCTGTCGTTTTTAGCCACAGAAGTCTAGTGTCCCAAATAAAACTCTGCGGCCTAATGTCTTAAGAACGGATAGAGATTTTGGAATTATATCTACTTATTGTATTTAACGTGAACTTAGTTTGGAACATTGTAAAAATGGCGCATATAATGGCGTCGGAGTTAAAAAGTAATGCATTCCAGTAATACTCATTTTTCAGTAAAAATAGTAATTCATTAGAATTACTTTTTGCATTTTGAAAAATTTGATGGAGACACAATTTTAGGTATTTGTTGTATGGGTCCAAAGGGTCAAGAAAAAACATGTTAGAATGAAAAAGGCAGTTGGCGATTTATTTTACTAACGCATTTATTACATATTCACATCAGTAAATAAAGTAAAACAAATAAATACTTTACGCAAGAGGACTATATTCATAATTTGAATTCAATAATAACTGCCATTCAAAATTTTCGTCAGCTAAGGCATGACGTTTTGTCTTAAAAACATCCGCGCCAACACTCAACGTCTTTTCCACTGCGGAGCTAGATGGAATTGTTGTGGAGCAACATGTTACATATTTTATACAAAAATTGAAGAGCCGATTCTTTTGAGCCTAATTTTATTCCACTCTAGCTACAAATAAAAGTTTAATGCCAACTGCAACAATTTTAAATAAAAAATATTCCTAAACACTTAGAAGGGGGCTACAAGATAATGTAAACTTAAAAGTCTGTCTTTAATTGCCTCTTACTTGGCGTTGTGACTTACAGATTAAATTTAGAAAACCTCAGAGGGTGGACACCCTCATTAAATTTTAGTGTCGGATTACAAGTGGTTTAAAAGGAGGGGCTCTATCGGTTACCTGTTATAGATTTGAGTGGACCAGAAAAATGGCTAAAGTTTGTTTGACCACAAAATTTAAATATTCTGCCCCTGTTTACTGAATTATTTATTACGATATTTTATTTCTGCAAAGCGCAATGGATTTTTTTATACACTTTCTATTGATGTATCTTTTTGAAAAGATAAAATTGATCCGTAAAAAACGAAAACCAGATAAACTTATACTCATCACAATTTTAACGCGTTGTAGTTTTTATTTCACAACAAAATTTAAAAAACGGAAAAACAGTCTGGATAGGGATTTTTACACTCATTTCAACGGTGTGAAGTTTATTACAATCGGACGTATACTTTTGGCAAAAACTTGGGCAGAAACTTATATGTATTTCTCTATGCCGGAATATCCTTTAGCTCACCCTTAAAATGATGAAGAGCTTATGTATATATTATGGTTACCTTAATAGTTCGTGTTCACCGGGTGGTTTGTTATTTTTCATTTACCTACTTCAGCTCCTATTGCACTTCTACACCTCTTATTTATATTTTAGGACTTTTTTTAAACTCCTGGAAAAGCTTAATTCCGTTCCACTTCTGTATTTATATAGTAGTTTGACTTAATGTTTGTCCTTTTCCATATCTTTTGTGCTCCTTTCTTACGTAACGAGTTACATTTTTAGCTTATTTGATTAAAGACAACATAAAATTAATTATTTTAATCAATTTATTAAATTAATTATATACAATGTGTTTGGGCTGCTAGTAACAAAAATATTCTTAGTTTAAATAAAATAAAAATATTTACAATATTACAATAGTTTTATTAACATCGCATTATTTTTTTGCGCAGAGGTCCAGTGTCTTTATTTTGAGGGCGTTTTCTTTTTTCGGGGGTGGTAACTGGTGCTCGTGCTGGAACCTGTCTTCGAACAATTTTGGTAGCGTTGAATCCCAACAATCTTCCGGGTCCATCTCTGGTTATGGATATCAATAGCCCTGGGTTGAGCATCTCGTCTCGGCCTCTTCGTTTCTTCAACACCCTTTGGTCCTTGATGGTCTTCCTCAAAACAGGATCTCCTTGGGCGATTTGTTTCCACAGGACGTTAGATCCAGCAGCAGTTAGAAGTGAAGATGGGTCCAGACACCTGAAACAAACACAATATTAGTGAAAATTTACAATAAAATAAAAATATTACTTACCTCAAGATGATGGCCCAAAGCTCCACGGGTAAATTTGGCAGAGCAAATTCAACAGCCGGAACGAAGGGTAAAATTTTATACATCTTCGAAATTTTATCGTGCAAGCAGAGGATAAACTGAATTGGCAGCCGCCCGCTGCGGTATATATACCCGATACGCGCTCCCCCTCCACTCGAGTAACGATGGAGTGGGAAGCGGAGGAGTGGGGACAGAGTGCGGCCGCGGTTACTTTGAACTATGTTATGTTTTCAATTGTTGTAATTGTCGTACATCTGCGAGCTTATTCCTAAATAAACTGTACAACCACAATTTCTCGAAATTGATCTGAACTTGTCTGTCTCTGAAACATCGATTTTCTAGTCATCTTCGAGCATATTCAAGAATAGACATCCAGAAAAAATTGGTCTAAAGAGTTTAGACAGTACTTCCCTCGCTGTCGGAAACTTGACGACTGCATGCCTATTGTGTTTTTTTTCTCATTACATTTTTGTGGTGGGAATTAAAAAAAAAATGCGATGACGTCATCAACATTTTTGCAAGGACACGTATATCAGTTGGGATAGATGTAGTGTAATACTAAGAATAAAATTATTGTATTCCCAAATTTTCGGGAAAATGGATTGGGTCGTTTTGAATATTGATTTGTTATAATCAATAAAATAACGAAACAATTTACTCATATACGGCGCCGGTGTGTAATATGAGAGGCAACTGAAAATCGTTTATGTATAAACATTCTTAATTTAAGATGACAAGCGTAGCAGCATACGTGAGAGTCAAACAGAGAAACTGTAAACAAAACGACCATCGGTTTTATTGCTTCGACTTCCGCTTATTATATAAAACATTGGGTTTTATTTCAATTTTTGACGGTGAAATTCACAATTGGTTGATTATAAACATGTCTATTCCACATTCGCGGAACCTAGTCAGCGCATAAAACAAATGCACGTCTGTAATGTTAAAGTCGATGTAAATAAGCGTGCTACCCTTATGTTTCAACCGAGTTTTTACTTTAAAAAAATTTGTGTCTACCAAGTTGGGTTGGTCCAATGCAATACTAATAATAAGTGTTGCCTTTAATTTAATCAATAAAATAAATTGACTTCATTAATTTTTTTGAGCCACCTCTTAAGAAAATCTAAAAAATATGAATGGAATGATAAATCACAAGTACAAACTCATCATATTTTTTGCATTTTAGATAGGATTTATTCAGCAAAATTTAAGGGTAACGTCATCAATTTTTTTAGGAGGGATGAACAAATACATTTTGAACAAAAGTTTACCATGCTTATAATAACTTTAAAATATCTCCAAGATTTCAAAGCATTCGGTTTTGTAATTCCTGATTAAATCGATAAAATAAATTCACGCATTCATTAATTTTTTTCAGTCACCCTGTATGTACAAATCGAAAAAATATGAATGGAATGATAAATCACAAGTACAGACTCATCATATTTTTCACATTTTAGATAGGATTTATTTACCAAATTTTAGGGTGACGTCATCAATTTTTTTAAGGGGGGGATGAGCAAATAAATTTTGTTAAAAAATTTACCATGCTTATAATAACTTTAAAACATCTCCAAGATTTCAAAGCATTCGGTTCTGTAAATCCTGATTAAACCAATAAAATAAATTCATTCATTCATTAATTTTTTTGAGTCACCCTGTATATGCAAATCCAAAAAATATGATTGGAATGATAAATCACAAGTACAGACTCATTATATTTTGTACATTTTACATAGGATTTATTCAGCAAAATTTTGGAGTGACGTCATAAATTTTTTAGGGGGGATGAGCAAATAAATTTTGATAAAAAAATTTACCATGCTTATGATAACTTTAAAACATCTCCAAGATTTCAAAGCATTCGGTTTTGTAGTTCCTGAGTAAATCAGTAAAATAAATTTTGCGCATTCATTAATTTTTTTGAGTCACCCTGTATATGCAAATCGAAAAAATTTGAATGGAATGATAAATCACAAGAAGAGACTCACCATATTTTGTACATTTTAGATAGGATTTATTCAGCAAAATTTTGTTGTGACGTCATAAATTTTTTAGGAGGGACGACCAAGTACATTTTGATCAAAAATTTACCATGCTTATGATAATTTTAAAACATCTTCAAGATTTCAAAGCATTCGGTTTTGTAGTTCCTGAGTAAATCAGTAAAATAAATTTTGCGCATTCATTAATTTTTTTGAGTCACCTGTATATGCAAATCCAAAAAATATGAACGGAGTGATATATCACAAGTACAGACGCATCATATTTTGTACATTTTAGATAGGATTTATTCGGCAAACTTTTGAGCTGACGTCATAAAGTTTTTGGAGGGAATAACCAAATATATTTTGACTAAAGATTTATGATGCTCTTTATAGCCTTAAAACATCTGCAACATTTCAAAACATTCGGGTTAGCAGATTAAAATTAAATTGCAAAATGTTGTTTTATAATTTTGATTTTTTTTCCAAAAATCTGGACGTTTCGGGTAAAAACTGAATTCGGAGTCGTAAACTACATGTGTAGGACTATGTTATTTTATACAACTTAAGACCCATTTACTATGTACAATTTTGAAGTGACGTCATCGCATTAGTGGTGGGGATGACTAGACAAATTTTAGTTAGCGTTTTACCATCTACATGATATTGCTAATATAAGTACAAAATTTCAGAACAATCGGTCCAGTACTTTTGGAGATTATCTGTCTAATAAAAATCCGGGACGGCAGACAGATGGACAGACGGACAGACGGACAGACAGACGGACAGAGAGACAGACAGACGGAAATGGGAGACCTATTTCTTCGTATTCTAGGGGTCATGAAAGATCGAGAAAACGTAAAAGTAGAGAGTCGGCCGACGGACTCGATTACAATACTTCCTTTGCTTACGCTCGGGAAGTAAAAACTATTCATCTCAAAAACTTGGTAAACAAATCTCGTTCGAAATGGACAGGTTAAAGTACCGAATCCACAAAATTTACCATAAAAAAAATAACAGTTTCGAACGCAGTGATTGTGTTACTTTAGACATAAATATATAAATGTTCAAAATGTGCTCCAATAGTACAATACCACATAATAGAGTACAATAAAGTATGGTAGGATTAGATTATAGTGTTATCTTGTGTTTATAGTTACGATATTAATGTTTTTGTTGCTAAAGAATCTTGATGTTCATATTCCTTGTGGTATTCTTCCTTGAGTAAGACACATGTTAAAGGTGTCATTTAGTTTTTCTATGGCTTCATTTCCGCTTATTATTTCTATTAAGATAGTTCGTGTTCACCGGGTGGTTTGTTATTTTTCATTTACTTCAGCTCCTATTGCACTTCTTATGTGTATTTTAGATTTTTACTTCCCGAGCGTAAGCAAAGGAAGTATTGTAATCGAGTCCGTCGGCCGACTCTCTACTTTTACGTTTTCTCGATCTTTCATGACCCCTAGAAGACGAAGAAATAGGTCTCCCATTTCCGTCTGTCTGTCCGTCTGTCCGTCCGTCTGTCCGTCTGTCCGTCTGCCGGCCCGGATTTTTATTAGGCAGATAATCTCCGAAAGTACTCGACCGATTGTTGTGAAATTTTGTACTTATATTAAGAATATCATGTAGATGGTAAAACGCTAACCAAAATTTGTCTAATCATCCCCACCACTAATGCGATGACGTCACTTCAAAATTGTACATAGTAAATGGGTCTTCAATTGTATAAAATAACATAGTCCTACACATGTAGTTTACAACGCCGAATCGACTTTTCACCCGAAACGTCCAGATTTTTGGAAAAAAAATCAAAATTATCAAACAACATTTTGAAATTTAATTTTTAATCTGCTAACCAGAATGCTTTGAAATGTTGCAGATGTTTTAAGGCTATAAAGAGCATCATAAATCTTTAGTCAAAAAATATTTGCTTATCCCCTCCAAAAACTTGATGACGTCAGCTCAAAAGTTTGTGGAATAAATCATATCTAAAATGTACAAAATATGATGAGTCTATACTTGTGATCTATCACTCCATTCATATTTTTTGGATTTGCATATACAGGGTGACTCAAAAAAATTAATGAATGCGTAAATTTATTTTACTGATTTACTCAGAAACTACAAAACCGAATGTTTTGAAATCGTGCAGATGTTTTAAGGTTATAAAGAGCATAATAAATGTTTAGTCAAAATATATTTGCTTATCCCCTCCAAAAAATTGATGACGTCAGCTCGAAAGTTTGCCGAATAAATCCTATCTAAACTGTAAAAATATGATGAGTCTGTACTTGTAATTTATCACTCCATTCATATTTTTTGGATTTGCATATACAGGGTGACTCAAAAAAATTAATGAATGCGTAAATATATTTTATTGATTTAATCAGGAACTACAAAACCGAATGCTTTGAAATCTTGCGGATGTTTTAAGGTCATAAAGAGCATAATAAATGTTTAGTCAAAATATATTTGCTTATCCCCTCCAAAAATTTGATGACGTCAGCTCGAAAGTTTGCCGAATAAATCATATCTAAAATGTACAAAATATGATGAGTCTGTACTTGTCATTTATCACTCCATTCATAGTTTTTGGATTTGCATATACAGAGTGACTCAAAAAAATTAATGAATGCGTAAATATATTTTATTGATTTAATCAGGAACTACAAAACGGAATGCTCTGACATCTTGCAGATGTTTTAAGGTTATAAAGAGCATAATAAATGTTTAGTCAAAATATATTTGCTTATCCCCTCCAAAAACTTGATGACGTCAGCTCGAAAATTTGCCGAATAAATCATATCTAAAATGTACAAAATATGATCAGTCTGTACTTGTGATCTATCACTCCATTCATATTTTTTGGATTTGCATATACAGGGTGATTCAAAAAAATAAATGAAAGCGTAAATTTATTTTACTGATTTACTCAGGAACTACAAAACCGAATGCTTCGAAATCTTGAAGATATTTTAAAATTATCATAAGCATGGTAAATTTTTGATCAAAATGTATTTGGTCGTCCCCCCTAAAAAATTTATGACGTCACCACAAAATTTTGCTGAATAAATCCTATCTAAAATGTACAAA